AAGGCAGAAATAACGTAACATCTAATTATTTGGATTCTAAGCTGCAGACTAAGGTCTGATCTTGTAAAACATGTTTTCATGCTCATGAATGTTTTCCTTGCTTGTTCGATTCTTGATAGTATTTCTTTTTTGGATTACACTGACTATAGATATTTGCTCCCAAATATTTTATGGAATTTACCTGTTCTATCATTTGACCCTTGGCATACATATGTACGTTTATTGGTGTTTTGAAAATACTAAAGTTTTCGTTTTGGAAACGTTTAGATGTAAACTGAACATTTCGCTGTGGTGAACTACCGCATTTATTATATTTTGTAGTTCTTGTGCGTTGCTTGCTATTAAGACAGTATCATCAGCATATCTGATGTTATTTATGCTGTTTCCGTTAATCTTAATTCCGCCTTGGACCTGGTCTAATGCTTCTATGAATATAGACTTGGAATACAAATTAAACAGAAGGGGTGATAAGACGCAACCCTGTCTCACTCCTCGTCGGATTTATATATCTTTGGATGTTGTTTCATCCTATTTCAATTGTTGCCGTTTGGTGCCAGTATAGTTCTGAGATAATTCGCAAGTCTTGTTTGTCAACTTCAGTTGTTCTCAGAATTTCGATCATCTTTTGCTGGTTAACACAGTCAAATGCTTTTCGATAGTCAATAAAACATGCATAATCATCTACATTCATATCTCTGCATCGTTGCGTTAACACATTTAAAGCAAAAAGAGCTTCTCGTATTCCCAATCCGGTTAGAAATCCGAATTGAATGTCACTCATCTGGAACTCGCACTTCTTGTAAATTCGTGTACGGATAATTCTGAGAAAAACACACTCTCTTACTCGACTAAAATCTGAATAAAATCCAAATATAGATTCGCCGGAGAATAAAGCTGTGGCTCAATAATTTGTTACCCAGCTTTTATATTCTTGAGATCACTCTAATCTTGCAGCGGCATTGCATCTCAATGACCTTCAACTGGAGATTTGCTTCATGGAGACGATTTCTTACAGTATTACGGCATATCATAGTAACCATAATGGTTCCTCCTCCTCTCGATCTTGTAAGGCTCTAAAAAGTGCATGGGCATCGAGGTTTGTCCAATCCCTTAAGTTTTTAAGCCATGAGTATTTCTTTCTTCCGATGCCCCGTTTTTCTTCTATCCACTTCCATAATAAGCTTTAAAAACTGGTACTTGGAATTTCGAAATATATGGCCCAGATAAGCAGTTTTTCTTTCTACTATTGGTAGCAATTCAGTCTTCTAAATACCCTCATTTGAAAGGACTCCAATCGGTTCATCATATTGGCCTTTAGGGTCCAGGTTTCTACACCATATAGCAGTATGGAGTAAATGTAACATTTTACAAAGCGATATCGAAGCGTTAAGTTAAGGCTGCTGTTGCTTAGCAATGTTCTCATATTAGTAAATGCTGTTCTGGCTTGCTCAATTCTGCTACGTATCTCTATGTCTGGATCTAGATCTTCAGTTATCCAACTACCGAGATATCTGAACTTGGGGACCTTTTGGATGTTCTAATTGTTTACTTTTATATTTAATTGCATATTTCGTGTTCTACTAACCACCATCACCTTCGTCTTGTCTATATTAATCTTTAAGCCCAGTCGTTGTCCTTCAGTGTTTATTCTATCTATTAGTCGTTGTAGCGCTTCTTGGCTATCGGCTATTATGACTGTATCATCAGCATAGCGAAGATTACTAATAGTCTGCCCGTTGATTTTGATTCCATCTTTTCGATCGAAAATCAACACGAAAATCGTTTCAGAGTAAAGATTAAAAAGGAGAGGTGACAGAACACAATCCAGTCGTACACCTTTTTCGATTGAGAAATATGATGTAGATTCCAGTCCTACTATCACATATGCCACTTGATTCATATAAAGGTTGTTTATGATTTTAAGGTCATTCTTATCTATCGAACGTTCCTGGAGCAATCTTACTAATTCTGAAGGATTAACACAATTGAACGCTTTCTGGTAATCTATAAAGCATAGGAAGACATCTTTTTACTGATCCTGCATTTCTGAAGTAAGACAGATAAGCTATAAAGTGCTTCTCTTATGCCAAATCCTTGTCTGAAACCGAACTGTGTGGGGCTAATGTCTCTTTCACATCTGTTGTATATTCTTGTGTGAATTATCTTTAAGAATAGTTTTACGACCTGGCTCAAGTCTTCTAGCGGTTAACACTAAAAGCTGCAGTTGTAGAGCGCTCACGTCTTGGATGACATTCGGCTGCACTTTAGTGTCACAAAAACGCCGCGACAAAACGCTGCCACTGTCGACTTATAACACCTTGGGAGACCCTATGTGCTCAGTTACATTAATTTGCCGTGCTTGCTTGCATGCCATCTTGAAGAAGGCCTACAGCTCTATTTATCTCATCCAGAGTTAAATTACGTCGTTCCATGATAAACAAATGCACCAACTTAACAAGAATTTTATAGCATGAACAAAATCAAAACTACCAGACTATTTACTGCAGTATGCCAACTATAGTTTTTTCCTCTCCTCTTAAAAACAAAAATATATATAATAAGCAACTGTACAAATTCAATTGAAATTAAATGACCACATTAATTTATTTTTATTCAGTTTCTTATGTTATAAGAATATCCCTATATTTTTCCGATGGGTATATTTTAACCAGTTTCAAATATGTTTTAGATTCCGAGTGCTTCTAAAACATGGGTAATCGACAATTCAAAATATTTGTCATGGAGAATACAAAACAAAACAATAATTGGTGGAAAATTAAGAGATGGATTTTTCTTAGATGAATTGAATATCGAAAAATAGTCGAATACTGTATAGTTCAAAGGTTACAGCTATACTTACGATTAGTCACTTATAATCTTCTATATACTCTTTAAAATATTGCAAATTTTGGTTCACTACTTTACACTATTAAGGCCTTAACAGAGTGCCGTATAGATCATCGCTATATAAACATGATAAAATACATGTATCAAAATAGGACAGCAAGCGTGAAACTGGCAGATAAACGTATATACGATACGATACGATAAACAGAACGTATTAAAAAAAAAACGGGGAGTGCGACAGGGAGACACAATTTCGCCAAAATTGTTTACAACATTATTTGACAAAACAAGTCAAAAGAAAAGGTAAAAAAGTATTTTTGAAGTGTGTATATTTTAAATAATTCCTAGCTGAGCGCTTTCGGCTTTACAAAGCCATCATCGGAGCTATGGTCAATTTATAAATACCACTACAATGGAGAGATCTCATTTCCTTATATGTCGAAATTATGATTTTTTAGTTGTTAAAATTCTTAAAAAACATATAAAAAACCGACACTGGACTTCACAGACACATTAAAAAATTGAAAATTTTTTTGTCATGGTACGGGTTTAAGAACCCGACCATTGATTGATGTGAGGAGGTAGACAGAATACCTCCTCACATCAATCAATGGTCGGGTTCTTAAACCCGTACCATGACAAAGAATTTTTAAAATTTTTTAATGTATCTGTGAAGTCCAGTGTCGGTTTTTTATATGTTTTTTATATGTTTTTTAAGAATTTTAACAACTAAAAAATCATAATTTCAACATATAAGGAAATGAGATCTCTCCATTGTAGTGGTATTTATAAATTGACCATAGCTCCGATGATGGCTTTGCAAAGCCGAAAGCGCTCAGCTAGGAATTATTTAAAATATACACACTTCAAAAATACTTTTTTACCTTTTCTTTTGACTTGTCATAAGTGTGTACAAAAAACATATCAGTCTTTTGATTGAACATTATTTGAGCATGTGTTTAAGAACGCAAATCTGAGTGAAAAAGGAATTAATGTCAATGGAGCAATGCTTAGTCATTTGAGGTTTTCTGACGATGTTGTCCTTTTTGCTGACAGAATCAATGATGCAGTATCCCAACTGGAGAAACTATACCTAGTCTCCCTCCAAGTTGGATTAAAAATCAGCCACACAAAAACACAAATCATGACAATTCTTGTGTTAAGCGAAAAGATTTCAGTAAATGGCATGCATATTGAAGAAACCACCTCTTATAAGTACATAGGACATGAGATACGCATAGGAAGAGATAATCAAACGTGCGAACTAAGCCTCCGCATAGGACTCACTTGGGTGGCATTCGGCAAGCTGAGCTATGTTCTTAAATCAGAACTGCCTATGTGTCTTAAGAGAAAATTCTTTAATCAGTACTTGTTGCCAGTACTTACATATGGTGCAGAGACATTAACACTAACCAAGAAAGTAAGAAATAAAATTTGTGTTAACCCAAAGAGCGATGGAACGATCGATGTTAGGCATTTCTCCTAGGGATCGAATCACGAACAAGGAAATAAGACGGAGAACAGGAGTGACAGATGACATAGAAAGAATTATGACCCTTAAGTGGAACTGGGCGGGGCACATAGCTAGAATGGCGGATAACAGATGGACACAGCGAATAATACAGTGGAGGCCGAGACAAGAAGCACATCGAAGTAGAGGTCGTCCACCAACAAGATGGTCTGATTACATAAAACGGATCGACAAAAATTGGATGCAAACAGCACAAAACAGAAATACATGGAAAAGACTGAGGGAGACCTATATCCAGCAGTGGATAGATCCGGGTTAAAAAAATAACTGATTTCACATAAAACTCTGATTCAGATATTTGAAGGTTCTAAAAGGTATATGAGGTATAGCTGATCTTAACAAATCTTTGCTTTGTTTTTGTTTTAAACAATCTTAAAAACTGAGAAAATCATTTTTTGCTCTAAACAGTTTCTTATGCATTTTAGAGAAAAATGGTTCAAATAAAAAATTGTAGATCTTAAAAAGTTCTTCAATTTGCGAGAGTTTTTAAATTAAAATACATAAACAATTCACTAAGATATTAGCAAAAAAAACCCTTAATTTGGAAGTAATTCAATAAAATTTCAGTAATAATAAAATTTTAGTTTAAGTAATATATAAAAATATTAATTAAAGGACTTACCCTTTAGGGTCAGATTGAAATTTGTGTAATTCCATAACTGTTGAAGGTTTTGATTCTCATACATAAATATACTATAGTTTGAATACATATCCATTTCTTTGGTAATATCACTTCCGATGTACGTTATATTTTTTAGAAAATCCATAGAACTTAACTTTCTTGTTCTTCCAATCATTAACATTCCGGAAATATTTCTGATACTTCCTGTAACAAATAGATTTTATAAAAATAAGTAGTTTAGTAACAGAATTAATAAGTAGATATATGAATACATTCTGAATACATAGCTCTTGAAGAAAAATATGTAAAAGGAGATAAAGTAGTAAATTTCCAGCATGATGGATGAAAAGGAAACAAGTAAGTGGTGTATTGTGTTACAGAAAGATTCCAATAAAACGAAACGAAAAAAATAAAATAATTAAATTGCTGTGTGTGTGCGTGTAGAGGAAAGGGATAGCCCTACATACATAGTAGCAAAAAACACCACTATGTTGTTACTAAAGTACATAACAGAGGTACTTTTTTAGTGCGTCATTAATTATGACGTCATATAATGAATTAGGTGTGTCGAGCATTATTTCATATAATTATTGAAGAATCTGACAGATTCCAGGATCGTACTTAGCTACAGGGGGTAATCCCATATATTGTTTATTAAATTTATAAATATGGAAACATATTTATAAATTGACGACAAAATGATTCATTTATTGAATTTTTGTATCTTCTTTTTCTCAAGGGGCTGTCTGCTTGTCGAAAGTTGGCAATCATCACAGCGATTTTTAATTTTGAGACAGCGGCTCTAAATAAGTCGTTATTACATGGGTTACGTCTCCTTCCTATGGATCTTTTTCTCCGGATTTTTCCTTGCATAATGACCTGGAGTATTAGATATTTATCTCTTCTCATCACATGACTGATATGTCCCACTTTTCTCCTCTTAAGTGTTAGTACTTCTTTTTCCTTACACATAAGACACATTACCTCAACGTTGGTTATTCCATCTACCCATGAGATCTCTAGTACTCTTCGGTACATCCACATCTCGAATGCCTTCAGTCTCCTCACGTGAATTTTCTTCAGTGTCCACGCTTCCATCCCGTATTATAATGCGGATAGCACGTAGCACCACAGCAGTCGTATTTTTAACTTAATGTTTAAGTTTCTACAGCAGAGAAGCCGTTGTATTCTTGTAAGTAAATGCGCTTCTGGCCTGTTTGATTCTGATTCGTATTCCTTGAGAGCTGTCATTGTTTTCATTAATAGTTGTATCTAGGTATTTGAATTCTCTTACTATTTCAATAGGTTGATTCTGTACATATATCTCACGAATGTCCTGAGTTGTCTTTGTTATTATCATGTATTTCTTGCTCTGTTGTTGCTCTGTTGAGTGATGGTCCATATTCTTCTTCGCTTACTGCGGTTACCTAATTATCTAAGTATCTGTAGGCCTTCATGTGATTCGGCTAAAAGAACTGTATCATCAGCGTATCTCTGGTTATTTATGATCATGTCATTAATTCTAATGTCTACGTTTCGTTAATCCATTGCCTTACTTAATATGTCTTCCGAGTATACATATTAAAAAATACTGGTGTATGTATACACCCTTGTCGAACAACTCTTTGTACTTCTATTTCTTCTGATGTTATTTCTTCTATTCTCTCTACTGCTTTTTGGCCATAGTATAAGTAACACAAAAAAGACTGTTTTCAAGAATTTATTAGGTAACTTCTAGATTAATTATATAAATAAAATATAATTCTAATAATAAAAACTATTTATTCACTAATGTGTAATAATAATAGTTTATTGAAAACACTGAAAAGTAGAATTTGAATATCAGTGTAATAGAAAATTATAGAAAAATACTGCCAGTGGAGAGTTTCCTTAAAGATATATCCTTAGACAAATTTATGGTGAAATATTTCGGTCATAAACTAGTAAAACATTAATTAGAAAGGAGCCCGTCAGATTTGGATATAAGAATTGGATGATAACTGGTTCCACTGGATATGATTATGGTTTTCACGTTTGTTGCGAAAAAAAAATACGAATGATATTGAAGATAATAAAAAAATACTACTTGGAGCCTAAGTAGTAATTGATTTTTTGAAATATAGGCCTGAACCATATAGAAATGAAATTAGATCAGGAAATTGGATGAGGACCTAGGAGTTTCCTGTGTTTACAACGTTTTGAGCCAAGTATTTATAAATAACAAAGTTTGTTCATCTAGCGGATAATGTCAAAATGGGCGATTCTACAGTTTGTATGTACAAAATTGAACTTTTAGCAGATAAAATTATAGAAAAATACTGCCAGTGGGGATGTTTCCATAAAGATATTTCCTTAGACAAATCCATAGTCAAATATTTTGGTCATAACCTAGCTAAACAGTCAATTAGAGAGAAGCCAGTCAAATGTGAATATAAGAGTGGGATGACAACCGGTTCCACTGGATATGATTATGGTTTTCACGTTTGTTGCCGAAAAAAAGCAAATGGTACTATTAAAAAAGACCACCTGGAGCTAAAATAGTAATTGATATTTTAAACTAGTTGCCTGAACCATCTAGAAATGAAATTAGATCAGGTCATTGGATGAGGACCTAGGAGTTTCCTGTGTTTACAACGCTTTGAGCAGAGACAAGTATTTATAAATAACAAAGTTTGTTCATACAAAGTTTGTTCATCTAGCGGATAATGTCAAAATAGGCGATTCTACAGTTTGTATGTACAAAATTGGACTTTTAGCAGATAAAATTATAGAAAAATACTGCCAGTGGGGATGTTTCCATAAAGATATTTCCTTAGACAAATCCATAGTCAAATATTTTGGTCATAACCTAGCTAAACAGTCAATTAGAGAGAAGCCAGTCAAATGTGAATATAAGAATGGGATGACAACCGGTTCCACTGGATATGATTATGGTTTTCACGTTTGTTGCCGAAAAAAGCAAATGGTACTATTAAAAAAGACCACCTGGAGCTAAAATAGTAATTGATATTTTAAACTAGTTGCCTGAACCATCTAGAAATGAAATTAGATCAGGTCATTGGATGAGGACCTAGGAGTTTCCTGTGTTTACAACGCTTTGAGCAGAGATAAGTATTTATAAATAACAAAGTTTGTTCATCTAGCGGATAATGTCAAAATAGCCGATTCTGCAGTTTGTATGTACAGAATTAGACTTTAAGCAGATAAAATTATAGAAAAATACTGCCAGTGGGGATGTTTCCATAAAGATATTTCCTTAGACAACTCCATGGTGAAATATTTATATTTTCCAATATGGTTTTTATGTGTGTCCCATGTTAGAGTCAATTTGAACTCCAAGGTACTTTATATTACTCACTATATTAATATTCAGATTTTTTATTTTTATAGATTTATAATCTGGTAGATCTTTCTTGTAGCTTATAAATGGGATATAAACTGTCTTATCCATATTTACTGTAAGAAATTTGTGGTTAAATATATCAGTAAGTCATGTACTATTTTTTGTTTTATTTATTTTTAGTTAATACACATGAATATGTGTATCCGGCTCGAAGGACCAAACCATGAAGGAATTAGAAGAAACCATAAAGGTTGGACCTTATATTTGCGCTGGTTATGAACTTCTTGTTGAAATAAACTTGAATAATTTAATTAAAACTTTGACAGAATGAAAAACGTGTTTGTCAACTTGAAAGGAACAATTTATTCCGACATTTACAATGTGACAATTTTTCACTAGTTGGCGTGTAATTTGAAGTCCAAACATGCCCCCACCTTGAAAGGGGTAACTTTCAAAACAATTTACAATATAACAAAAAAGAAGTTCATAACCAGCGGTTTATACACATTTTATACACATGATACACAGGTAGCCGAGAACCAGACCGTTCTAGAAATTAAGCCAGATCGACCAAAATGTACCAGATGTAGTCAAACAGATATTACGCCACAATATGACCAAAGTACAACAACTTACGTTTATGAGGATCCTAGTGGAAGTAATATATTCTTTAGGCTCTTGTTTGGATCTTCCTTAAATGAAAATAGGGTACCACCAGAAAATGAAAATAATTCTGTTTTATATGATGTGTATAGCAAAACATCAGAGTTTGTTGTTTATTACTAGGATCGGATAGGAGGATTTATTTCCGATCAACAAATATGATACAATTTATTTTCGGGTGTAAGTGATCACTTAAGTTAAATTATTTTGACTCTAATGTCTATTATATTGTTTCGTCACCATTAATAACAATTTCTATTGTAAGTGTAGATCCATTTTAAATTTGAAGTATTGAAATATTATTTTTTGCTTTAGATTGAACCACGTGTCTGCAACTACGTGTACAAAATTGCTGTGTCATCTTCAAAACTCAATATGACACCTTCATTTTGACAAGTGAAGAGATTATTTATATACAGTATAAATAATATGGATCCTAATACCTAATCCTGTGGTATACCAAAATTAAGGCTTCTTTATTAGTTACAAAATTTGCTAAACAAAATTTTATTGACAAATTAGTAAAAGAAAAGTCGATGGAAGTCAATGAGGAAATAATAATAAATAATAACTAGAACAGTAGACTAGAGCAATAACTATTTAATGACGCTCCCATAATACTTACCTAAATATTTTTTTAGGTCATGCATTTCCACATCAGGCATTTTAATAATCAAGGAACCGTTAATATGTGTGCACCCTTTTAGCCTTTTCAATTCACTTTTAGCATCAATTACATTCTGAGGACTAAGTACGTCCGTTGCATTGCACAGCTTTACACACTTATCTCCACAATATTCGCAACTGATTGTGTAATTATTTGAGTTAGGTTTTGGCGTTTTTTTTATTTGATATAAATTCGGACATTCGTTAATGCATTCTCCGTTATGAGTCCACCAGACATCTCGTAATAGAGTTTCACATTCATCTTTGGTTACACATTGGTTGACTAATGTATGGGTGTATCTGCAACAACAAATATTTTTATTAAAATCGACGAATGATTATATTAAACAATTATTTAATTAAAATCGACGACATTATTGAATAGGCAATGACTAAAGACTTCAAAACACTTAAATAAGTTATAGTCCAAACTGCAGATAAAAAAATAAATGATTTTGAGCAGTAATTAGTAAATATTTGAAACCAGCACAGCGTTATGAAGGGTAATGCGTATAAGTGCACTCCAAACTTTTGGTTATAATTTCTTCATTACACCTTTAACACATTGAGCGCCACGCCATAATTGGTTGTTCACTCACTGGGACCAAATATTTAAAATGTTTTTTTTTTCTAGAAACTTGCTTTTTAAATCTTTATTATTGTATTTTAAACAACACTTTTTTTCAGTTTTGTTTTTGTGTTTTTTTTTAGTGTCCACCGCTGGTCACGTGGTCCCATGTAATTTTACATTGTGGGACCAAATGTCCACCAGTGCTCAAGCATTTCATTATTTCTTTTGTTGCAGATTTTAAACAATACTGGCAAGAAGTGGACTTACAGAAGAACTGCTTTGGGAGTTGGAAAATTTGTCTGATGTTGAAGCAGCAGACTATTCCAAGGATGACTCCATTGCAGATGGAGATTCATCATCATCTTGGTGCTACAGCCCTTAGAGGGCCTCGACCTTCTCAAGTTTTCTACGCCATTCTGTTTTATCCCTTGCTTGCATTTTCCAGTTGCCGACTCCGATCTTCTCGGCATCTTGTGTTACCCCGTCCATCCACTTCAGCTTTGGTCTATCCCGTCTTCATTCCCACGGGTTGCGCTGTTAGAATCTTTTTTATCATGTTCGATTCAGAGGGCCGGGCTACATGTCCTGCCCACTGCAGGCGGTTTCGCTTAATTATAGTGGTAATATCTTTACCACCAAACGTATGCTTGTAGATATTCTGTAGTTCAAAGTTATATCTACGTCTCCATATTCCGTTCTCACAGACCGCTCCGAATATATTGCGTAGCACCTCTCTTTCAAAAATCGATAAAGCGGATTCATCTGTTGTAGTTAGTGTCCATGCCTCTGCTCCATATGTGAGAACGGGGCTATCGGTGTTCTATACAGCCTTATACGAGATTTTCGAGACAGACGTTTGTTAGATAAGTACTTTGATAGACCATGATAACACCTGTTTGCAATTATTATTCGCCTTTTTATTTCCTCAAATATGTTATTATTGGGGTTAACCGATATTCCTAGATATATGAACTCTTTGACTGCGTCGAAGTTTTGGTCATTGATGATTAAATCTGCGTCAATATTTCCAGCTCTTGTGTTTGTGTTAGTCGCCATGAATTTGGTTTTATTTTGATTTATATGTAACCCCATTCGTTCTGCTGCTGCTAATAGCTCGGTTAGGATTTCCGTAGTTTTCGCCCTGGTTCTTGTTATAATGTCCACATCGTCTGCATATGCTAGAATTTGGACTGATCTATTTATCTAGATTACTCATATGATAAAGAAAGCTCCGATTCAAGTGAGGTTAATTTAGCTGCATTTGATGCCGAGAACAAAGTTGCTGAAGTAGTTCCTTTTACGGATAGTATACCCCAGACCAACTGGGAGCCAGTGGCAGGTGACAGATTGAAATTTAATTTTCTTTATGCCTACACCGGTGTATCCGAACATATAATCCAGAAACTTCATGGAGCCCCTCCTATAAGTTACTTTAAACACTTCATAGGAAGCGGAGCTCCAAGACTTAGTAAATGAGTTGACACTGATCGTACAGATGCGCAAGTTTTTGGGCATTGTTTGGTCAAGTGAAGTCGTGGCCCAACAAAACGAAAATAAAACAGTTGTCTGCAAATGGAAAGATAAAAGAGATGTTGTTATGCTGAGTAACAATTATGACGACTCTGTGGTTACAATTAATTGCAGAGGACAAGAAATTTATAAACCAGCGATGGTTGTAGATTACAACAAAGGAAAAGCTTGTGTCGACACTTCCGACCAGATGACATTTTATGCGCCATACGTGAGAAGAACTGTCAAGTGGTATAAGCGACTCGTTTTTCATTTTGTTACTTCAACAGCTGTGGTAAATGCTCTGCATCTGTATAACACAATTAATATCAAGAAATTGGTAATAATAGAATTCAAAGAACTATCGTTGAGGCTCTGGTTTATCAAGATTTAAATCCAATTCCAATACAATCAAGGCCCTCCAGTTCCAAGATAAAACACTGCTTGAAAGAATACAAGGGGCAAAAGAGGTTTACCAGAAAAAGGTGCAGCCCACGCTACAAGACTATGTCTCACCGACAAAATCCAGTTTATGCTCGTAAAAATGCGAAAAAATTAATACGTATTGCGATACCTATAACATGCCAATGTGCCTCGAATGTTTTCAAAAGCATATCTAGCAACTATCTTTTATCTATTAAATTTCCAGAAATTTAATTTTTATTATTTTTGTTGTATTACAAATACGTTAAGATTACTTGTTTTTTAATATTTATATAGGTTTGTACGTTTATTTTTATTTTTATTAGTGTAGAATTCAATTTATTTTTATAATAAACAATGTAAAAAGACACAATTATATTAGTTTTTTGTACTGCCAAATATCACAACCGATACATTCATTTTTCCCGGTTCACGTAAAATTTTGTTGTTTTGTGACCACCGAATACGTTACCATACGTAAAAACTAATATAAACCGTGCCCACATATGGCCACGGTGACTTAAAGTAAGTAACATCAAATGTCCACGAGTGGGCACGCGGTCTTAAAGGAAACATTGAAAATGCCCAGTGGTGGACACATCGCATGGTTAAAGTGCAAAGAACGACGTTTTTTGATTATTTTTATTTAAACATTATTGCAACAATTTAGAATTAAAATTGGCACCGTTCAATAGTTAAAGCACTATATTTTATGAGAATAAATAAGCACTATAAGCATTATAAAAAACATAAGGAAAGTTGACTGTTTTTTGAGTAAGCGAATCAGCTCCGTTTTCAGTGGTTGGCGTGTTGGCCTGATGCACTTCAAATCCGCTTTGCTCGCAACAATTTATCACATCTTCCTTAAATGTGGACCAATGTTTTTATCTAGGGTAAAAAAATTTCTTTTTAAATTACTGTTGATCATCTTTATTTTTTATATATATTAAATAGTAAATATTATATTAGGAGGAAGAAGGAATAATTTGGATCACGGCTGTCTTCAATAAAATTTACAATACAGGAATCGTCCCTGATAAATGGCTAGAATCAGAATTCATAGCGATACCTAAAAAACAGGGGGCTAAAAAGTGCGAAGAATATCGAACAATCAGCCTAATGAGCCACATGTTGAAACTGTTTCTTAGAGTCATCCATGGAAGAATTTATAAGAAGTGCGAGGAACAAATATCGAACAGACAGTTCGGCTTCATTAACGCAGTGGGTACCAGAGAGGCACTTTTTGGAGTACAGGTACTGATTCAAAGATGCAGGGACGTTAACTGCGACGTATACGCGTGCTTGATCGACTACGAAAAGGCATTTGACAGAGTTCAACATCAAAAAATGATAAAAATTTTAAAAGAGGCAGACCTGGATGACAAAGACCTCAGAATAATTTCAGAACTCTACTGGAATCAGACCGCATACATGAAAATTAACGGAGAAGAAACAGATCACATAAAAATACTACGTGGAGTTAGACAGGGATGTATCCTATCGCCGTTGATATTTAATATGTACTCAGAGAAAATTTTTAACGAGGCTCTTTACGGAATAGACGAAGGCATCCTTCTAAATGGTGAAAGAGTAAACAATGTTAGATATGCCGACGACACCATGGTGATAGCAGATAGTTTAGAGGGACTTCAGAGGCTAATGGACAGAATAAACGAGTACAGTCAACAGTACGGACTAAACATTAATACCCACAAAACGAAACAAATGATTATCAGCAAGGAGAATATAAATGGGGCTCATATATACATTAATGGGACGCAGATAGAGCGAGTAAAACAGTATTGTTACCTGGGAACTATTATTAACGAACAGTGGAGCAATTTACAGGAAATAAAGTGCCGCATAGGAAAGGCAAGAACGGTCTTTAACAAAATGAGTGCCATCTTCAAAAGTCACAACATATCCCTTGATACAAAAATGAGACATTTGAGATGCTATGTTTTCTCTGTGTTGTTGTACGGGGCGGAGGCATGGAGGCACGCTTACAGACGCCACTATTAAAAAACTTGAAGCATTTGAGATGTGGCTTTATAGAAGAATGCTGAGAATATCATGGACAGCAAGGATCACGAACAAGGAAGTTCTAGGAAAAATGAAGAAGGAACCAGAGATTGTGTTTACGATCAAACGCATAAAATTGCAATATCTGGGACACGTTATGAGAAATCAGCACCGTTACTCCCTGCTACAGTCTATATTGCAAGGTAAAGTCAAAGGTAAGCGAGGATCCGGTAGAAGGAGAATATCATGGCTGCGGAATTTAAGAACATGGTTTAAGAAAACCTCAACGGAGCTGTTTCGAGCCGCAGCGAGCAAGGTTATGATTGCCGATATGATTTCCAACATCCGAAACGGATAGGAACTAGAAGAAGAAGAAGAAGAAATATTATATTATGTTAAATTTATTTTACAACATGTATTTAGTGCATGCATTATTTAATATTTTTGAATTAAAGAATAGAATGATCAATTAAAGGGTGCGGTGTAAAATAGTAAATGTAAAATACATTCAACTAAGTTTATTCTTTAATTTATTATTAATATTATAATCCAGATTTAGCCATATGGCTCACACTCCCCCTAAGGGAAAAATTCACTCATCCCAGATACCTACGGTATTAAAAGGATTGAGCTCTGGTGGGACTCTTTCCGTGTTATCAAGCCCTAGGTGACTTGGTATGTTGGAGTATCTCTCAAAAATTTTCATATACATCTGGACGTCCCGAGGAGTACAGCTTTCTGTATGGCCTTATAGAGATGTTCATTTAGACCTAGC